AATTATTTAATACTTGGACAAAATGTGCCATTCGTCGGGCTCTTGAAACTAAAACGCGACACAAGACCAACAAAAATAGGTAGGTAATTAATTATACTTGTGGTTTTACTGTTGGCACTAAAAAAAAGCATTATGCGGGTCACTCTGTAATTGGTCGCAAGCCTGTTGAGGGCCCAGGAAAAGAGAAGGATAATAAATAAATAAATAAAAAATATGAAGAGAAATAATTAGGAGCCAGGAGATTATGACATTCAGAGCACCTTTAATAAGGAATGAGACCAGTAAAATTATGGAACCGGTGACGGATTTTAAACGACTATGAAAATGTTAGTGAATTTAGGGAAAATAGAAAAAATACAAACAAAATAGGCGTCGTAATTTAGGGCATGTGAATACGAAATTAGATGAATTAAAAGTGTTATAAATAGACGAATTAAAAGGTAAGTTTCAGGGAAGGAAACAAATAAAAGAGATTGATGTACCTACCTAATTATCACAGTTAGGGAATATTGGAAATTAATAGGGATAGGGAATCAGGATGACTCAATCGGGGAGTGAATCTTGAACTTAAAAACGGCATCTATAGTTTGCAAGGAGGAGGTAACGAAACAGCTTTTAGACTCAATTACATTGTACGCATTCGATGATTGACGATTATTTGATTCATGATATCAGTAAGCGGTTTAATGGTTGAGATCCAAATTACTTTAGTAGGGGTTACAATCAAAATTTTGCTAGAGGAGCAGCTAGGGGTTACAACCAAAATTTCAATCGAGGCAAAGGTACAAATTTAAATTGTGGTACAAGTAGGGCGAATGTAGCCTTTGTGAAATTGACACCTAGATAATGTCAATTAAGTATTTGTGTAATTGGAAATTAAGTTGACTAAGTAAAGATTAATTACTTCCTTTTGCTTGCTTCTGTTATAATAATTGCCACTTTGTATTTTAAATTTTATTAGGTATTTAATGATTCATGGAGTTCTAGTAAGAAGTTGGCTGTTAATCCCAGTCCTAGTATAGACTTTCCAAAAGATTGTCACCAGAAGAGTTTGGTAGCAAATTCAATCTCATTGCGAAGTTTGGCACTATCAAAGAGTTTTCCAAGTTGCACAATTTGGCGCATATTATACGATTATCTTGCAATTTATACAAAATCGACACGGGACAGACCTATCAAGTCCTGGACTACACTTAGTATTGCGAAGGAATCCAGACAGAGCCGTAGCCAGAGGAGTGCAAGCCCGCTCTTGGGGCCCACTTTGCCCGCTCTTAAAAGTTGCTTAAAATAACACAATGTAGCATGCTCATAAATAATCAAAATTTCTTAAAAAAAATTAACAAAACAAGAGATAGAAAAACTTCAACCATTTTAAGTGGAGAAAGATGTTTTCGGTTGAAAAATGGATTTAATAGTTTCCTAGCGTTTCTTCGAAAACGACATTTTTGGGTTTTTTGTTCAGGACTTCGCTATTTGTAGAGCTACAAGAAACTTTGACAGGGAAAATTAATCAGCATAAAATTGTGCTTAAATTTGCCTATTTAAGCTACTTTGCATCTAGTGCGGTTTACGAGATCTATGGTGACAATGAAAAAACCCACCCTGTATTATTATCATTTTATTATCTTTTTTACCACCTGCAATACGCAATACAGGCATAAGAGAGATCCGAGGAGAGATCTACAAATGACCTTCTATTGTATTTGGAGAACTTATGCATTTGTTGAAGATGACCACGATATAAAAAATTAAAGTAACCAGAATATCCAGAACCAGAATATAAATGGGCTTATTTTGTAGGTACTAATTTTAACGTTAAAAAAATTTGATGTGGCTAGCACAGATATCACCCCCACACTTGCGCATGCGCTATTCTGCCCAAAAGTAAGAGAGATATTGCATTGACCCCCACTTTTTAGACGGAAATACACGTTTTGAAGCACCAGGAATCCGAATTAAATAAAATCTCTATATTGTCGGTCCATCTGTACCTACTCTCATTTCCGGCTAAACGGCTGAACTGATTGGAACCAAATTTGGTATAGGTACATATTCCTAGACATAAAAGGGTAGAATCGCGCAGGTGTGTGGGTGGTATATGTGCTAGCCATGGTTAAATTTTTTCAGATATAATTAAACTGTATATAACAAGCTGGACTCCCAGATTCGACACTAAAAAGCGTATAAGCGGGGAGAAAACGAGTTAAACTAATTTTAATCTGGTTATAGAAACGATTTAAATGCTGACAAATTGGAATGTTAAAGTGATCTAAATGAAATATGGGTCAAACTTATAATTAATAATACCTACTTCATACATTCTTATGGTGTTATCTACTTTCAACCGAAATGATATTGACAAGTACGTTTAGTACGTAAATGCAAGTTAATTAAAAATATATAGCCTCGATTTACACCTTAAAACTCATTAATACAGTTAAAAACTGCAATAATAGAATTACCCTTGATCTAATTTTAACCAACTTATGGCCGTTTGCACCAACAAATTTAAGGGTAGCTTAAAATCCATGGCACCCATTGTCTCAATAATCGTTGCCATGGATTTTAAGCTACACTTAAGCTAAGCTCCACTTAAATTTGTCGGTGCAAACGGCCATTAAACGCGGAAATTAAATCCGCTGTCGACTCACTGGATAAAATTAACCCATTTTGTCCTGCACTAGAAATAGTCTACAAAGTCCATAGGCCAACTAAGCGAATTACCAAATTAACCAACTTCAATTTTCAAAAAGGCAGATTTTCTTAAAATGTACGTCCTTTTTCGCGATTTAATTGGAAGGAGTCTCTTATTCTGAAGACGTTCACATACTAGGTAGATGATGCAGTAACTTTAATGAAACAATAATGAACATTTTCGATTAATGTGTTCCGAAAGTTTGAAATAGGAGTGCCCATATTTGGTTTAATATAGACATTATTAAGAAAATCAAACAGAAAAATAAGTTTCGGCTATAGAGCCCATCGGAAGGCTTCATTGAAGCCAGGAAAGAACTCAAAAGAATGATCCTCTTTGCTCATAAGAAGTACATTAATCAAATTGAAATGGATATGCGGAAGAATTCCAATAAATTCTGGAACTATACGTTATACTATAAGTCGTTGAGGAAAAATAGTCAACTTCACGGAGTTTTTTTAACCAAAAACACCTCGTTAACGGACCCCAGAAGCATTGCGGACGCCTTTGCATCCTTCTTCGAGTCAGTCTACACTGTTGAGAGGAATGATGGCCTTGAAGATGACGTGGAATCGGACCTGGTGTTATCCAAATTGCCTTGATTGAATCCGAGATACTGGAAGCAATTAAAAAATTGAATCCGAAGTCGGCTATGCGCGAAAATGTAATCCCACCCTACATCCTGGATGCGCATCTTTATAGGTAACCCCCTTACTACATCCATTTAATTTAGCTTTGCAAACGTGTACATTTCCTGACGCTTGGAAAGGCACCAGAATAACACCAATTCACAAAAGTGGAAGCAAAAAACGACGATTACCAATTTAATGCAGTTTACGCATTTCTCACAGCAGCAGCCTTGGATGAGAGAGCCCAGGTGGACTGTGTTTATACAGATAGAGTGATAAAAAACTCAAAAGCACTACTATTACTAGATCGAAAAATCCCTTACTTTTTGACGATAAGATGAATGGAAAGGTCTTACTACGAGTCACCTCCGTTAAGGACCTGGGCGTGTTTTTCAATACCAACCTTAACTTTAACTTACACATTGAATACCTAACAAATAAGTGTTACACACTTCTTGGTTTCGTTATCAGGCATACACTCAATTTCACGAATATACAGACAATGCTAACCTTATATAATGCGTTTATTAGATCCAAGCTTGAGTATGCTGCATGTATCTGGTCTCCTCAAACTCTCAAATACTCAGACATGATCGAAAAAGTGCAGAAAAGTTCATCCGAGTAATGTTTTTTAGGTCAACCCAAAATTATCCACATTTGATCTCTTACGGTACCCAGCTTAATTACTTAAATAGTACTTTCGGCTTAAATATAACGAGGTTAGAAACCCGACGGTACATTGCCTCCACAATTTTTGTCTTCAAAATTTTACCAACAACTTGTATAGGGGAGAGTGGGTAGGTTTGGGACGTTTTGTGTTTGAATGGCAATTAAACCGTTCTCTTAAGTTGATATAATATGAAATTTTTGGACAGTACTCTTTGAAGTATTTAGCAGAAGTCTACTTATTCCAAGTCATTGATTTATGTTCTTAAATTATGAAAAAAAAAATATGAAAATTTATTAACAAATGTCCCAAGCCTCCTGCCAGGCAGGTGAAATGGGACACGTGGCAGGGAGAATGGGACAGGTGGGGAAATGTACAGTAGACAATAAAAAAAGTGTTCTTATTGAAGTAAATCAATGTATTATAATAATGTCGAAGTCAACGGACATTTTTAAACATGTCAAAATTTATTTCAAAAGAAAAAATGGACGAAGTCCTTTGAGTTCCACCAAAACATTGTGGGGATGGTAATTTCAATACAATGTCACTTTTAGGAATTGTGCTACTGTCTTCTTCCGTTGGGAAGACAAACTTAGATGAAGTGCCCTTTCTTCGAAGAAAGCTCACTTCCATCTCCTTACTTGCCAAGGTGTTTACTCTGGCAGCGTAGTGCACAATCTGCTTTTTACCTAGAAATTTGCATAAAACAAAATCCCCCACTGTTACACTATCAATGTCAAAGTCAAAGTCATCTTCCTTTTCAAAGTTAAGATCTTCGTCGCCAGACGAATCATGCAAATCCGGCATGCTACTCTCACTTGAACTGTCTGTATCATCAATAACAGTTTCTTTTTTTCTGTTATTAGGTAAAATACTACTACCATTTCCCAACCTTTTTTTGGTTTGCTCGATTTTTTGTTTGCATTTCTTGTTCTTCTGGAGCTCCTCTATTTCTTCCTTTTCTGGAGTATCCGTTAAGATTCGAGTTTTTCCACGTTTTCGACATTGTTTAACTTTACGAGGAGCGGCTTTCGGATAAGGCATAATATGTTCTGGTGTTAACACCTGCTGAAGAAAAATAATAGGTAGGTAATGACCTGAGCTTTTGAAAATTAGTGACATTTACTCACCTCCATACAAGTTGAGGTAGAAGTGCTGGGTATATTCATTTCACAAAACCGCGATTCATTTGAACCGCAATTGATATTGCAATGCTCTTTATCAACTGAAGTAGATTCATTTCCTTGTTCATTTTCATTAAATGGACGATCTGTTACATATGACATCAAAAAGTCGTCATTTGAAAACACACTGGGATTATAGGGCCATATGCCCGTTTTTTGAAACCCTTTTATAATATTGTCTTTTGTACAAGCACTGTTAAATGCAGATCCGCCAAGTTCAGCAATATTATATATTGTTAGAGTCTTTCCGGGGTTTGCAGTCATCCAGTTGTCACATGCTTGATTGTATCTAGCTTTCAATGGTCCATACACGCAAACATCTAGCGGTTGAAGACGGTGGCTGCAGTGTGGCGGAAAAGTTATAAGCAGCACTCCATTATCTTTGGCTTCTTGTATCACACTGATGTTCACATGACTATCGTGGTTGTCTAAAAAGAGCACCACAGGATCATCTCGGCTGCACTTAATATGTTTAATAAAATGTCTAAGAGTCAATAAAAAATTGTCTGAAGTCATCCAACCACTTTTGTGTGACAAACCGAGACTTCCAGGTGGCGCTCCGTGAAGCATGAAATCTTTAAAATTCACTCTGGGAAAGACGAAAGCCGGTGGAACTGTGTTACCCGTAGCATTAACAAAACAACATAGCGTAATTAGCTGACCGCGTTCCGCTGATGTCACTTGTCCAATTTGTTTAGCACCTTTTTCGCCAATGATTTTAGGAGGCTTATGAACCGTTGTTAAGGCTGTTTCGTCACAGTTCCATATCAAATCTGCTCTAAAGGCATGACGATCGTATAATTTTTTGACGTTAGAAAAGAAGTCTCCCACGTTCTTCTCATTGAAACTGGTAGAACGGCTTAGGCTTGTAGCTTCAGGAGCACGAATAGAAAGGGTGCGATTTCTGCGCATAAAACCAAACAACCATTCTTTTCCAGCTTCTTTCTTTTCTTCCCACTGACGAGGTAACTGAAGTTTCAATGCGATAGCATACTGATAAGCAAGTCTCTTCACCTGTTTAGTGCTTAGACCATAGTGCATTTTTGATGCGGTTTTTAAATATTGACAAATCATTTCTTCTTGTTGAGTGCTGAACACTTGCTTAACAGCGATATTGGGGTTGTACTTAAATTCAACAATGTTATGTACATGTTGTGATGCACTTACGTGACGTGCTAGTGACGATTTTGAAATATTGAACGAAATTGCTACTCGTCTTATGGAACTGCCTTTCCTAACTTCTTCTAATGCATTTCGCAATTGTTGTTCAGTAATGCGTTCTCTGTTTGTTTTACGCGCCCAAATTCTACCCATTATGGGGACTACAAAAAAAAATCATTTGTACAAACCTACATTAGAGTGGCAGGTAGAATGGGACTGTCCCATTCCTACTGAGTTGAGGTTGTCCCATTCCTCCTGCATAAGGTGTTAAAAAATTTAAATTTCCCACAATTTTATTAGAGGAATTTGCGGTTAGGAAACCTATATGCATATACAAAGAACACAACAAGCATCCCTATGAAAATAAATAAGAACTTAATAACCACACATATACGCCAAAATCATGTTTATATGTTGAGCATCAATACTTACTTTTTGATGGAAAAAAATACACAATTAACTTTTTTAGCTCGAAATAGCAGCAACACAAATGAAAGTAGCTATACACAAAACTCACTACTACAGCCACCTATTACCACACGCGGGAACATTTAGTAGTGCAGAGAGCGGTAGAAATAATGTATGTCCCATTCCACCTGCGTCCCATTCCTACCCACTCTCCCCTACTTTCGAGTGCTGCGTCACTCGCACAGGTCTTTCGATGGCGACAACTTGGATTTTTCACATCCACATTCATCCTAACACTTTAAAAGAAAAAATAGAGATAACATATCTGATGCAAGGTATTATGATAAATTGATCACTGTATTACTCCCCAAAAATCTGAAATTGAGAAAATACTGCGTTAGAGCGATCAACTGTTAGTAGCTTTCAAGAAAGCTAAAATAAATAGTTTGTATGTAAGGTGGAATTACTGCTTGGTTTATTTTTAAGGGTGTCGATGATGTGTACACTAAAAGGGAAAGTGAATGACCTAGACGAGACGTATCTGCCGGTGTAATCAAAACTTCAAATTCCAAGCCATTGGCGTGATAATTTTGCGTAACTTATATTATGTCGTAGCATGAATTTAATTAAGAGAGTTTTCGAACCAACATGGTACCGTTAACTGTACAGATCATTAAGAGCGTGATAAATAAAATAAACCAATACAGCGCACATCGCAACATAGCTGAATTAGTTAACAATAGAAACCTAGGTTACTACACTGGTAAAACTAACTACGTTGAAAGCAAATAGCTGCAACATGCAACTAATTTAGTAATTTGATTTAAAAGTAGTTAACTAGTTAATACCCAGCCCTGACAAAGAAATAGTGAGCTTATCGGGAAAATAAATTGGTAGGATTTGAACAAAGTTACGGGTCCATATTTCAGCTAAAGGAAGCCGATATCTTACTTAAACGCCATTAGAATAGCATCCTATTTTCTCCAATCATTCCAATTAAAATTTGCACAAAACATTCGTGTTTTCAATACAGAAATCATAATACCAATAACTTGCAGTAATATCGATTTATTAGCTACATAGTACAAATCACATCCGTCAAAATGCCTGAGTTACAACAACTAATCCTGGCCATTATCATTCATACCAGATTTGCCAACTTAAATCAAGATAATGGTAGAAACTTCTCCAAACTTAATAAGTTAGGAAGGTAAACGTAATACCTTTGAAATGCCTACAACTGCCATTATAATTCTATCGTTTTATTGAACATACTATTTTTAGTTGAAGCGGAGAAAAGCCCACCCTTGTACTAAATGCCTAAACTTGCTCTCCCCGGTCCCTAATCAAATTAGTAAGTGGGTATTATAATCTACGTGAACGCCTGATAGATATTACCCATATGAGCTTCATATTACGATTAAATCACAATTAGTAATCTAACAGACAAATTACATGAACTTGTGGTCTGGGACTAGCGCGTTAAATAATTGCATTAAAATGGAGGGATAGACAAGAAAATGGTTTTCAGGCACGCGTGTGTTGGTGACAGTCGCCGGCATCTGACATAATCATTAATTAATTATTTCATTATAACTAACCAATCTTTTTCCGTCGTCGGTTTACTGTAATATAATCTTCTTGTTTTCCGTTCATGATATATTTGAAATGGGTATATAATATGTAGAATAATACATCAACATATTAGACCCTTCACTCTTGTTGACTTAGGATTGTATAAGCAGCACACCTTAGTCGATTTCTATGCGGCCTACAGTACGAACTAGACGTTTTCTAACTCGATTTACTTAATATCCCTTAAGAGACGCGTTCACGTACCGAGTTTTCCCAATTCAAGTTAAGTTAGAGTTCCGACCGCGCGTTAACTATTAGAACTTATAGCTAGGCACGCGTTATGGCTAAGGTAGGTAGCCTAAGCAATTCGAACCCCCTGCAGTATTTACCGTAACCGAATGATGAATAATCATTAATTTCAAACCAATTTTAACCCCAGCGTTAGCGATAGGTACGTACATTTTAATTATGTAGGTCGACATACAATATTCATAATCTTTTTCGTAACTAATGAAGGTATATTATTCCACGTTACTTATAGGTTCATTTGGAAGTTACAAATGATGTTATTTGTGATGTACACAAAACGTGTACTTCATATAATTATATACATGTAATTGCAATGATCTCAGTCCCTACACGAAAAAATGTAGTGTATAAAGTTGCAGTGCAGCCATATACGCTGACGACGATGTAAATAAGTATATAAAATATAAATATGTTCACTTATTAGTCTTTCCATTCTTAAGCCTTTTTATATACTTTTTACGTCGACAAATTCCGTACCATAGCTAGACTCGGATAAAATCACAACAATTTCGGTTTAAAAGTACCTACCTACAGTAAGCCTCAGAATATTGAATAGGTACTTAAAAATAGAATTAGGGAAGTAGTTGACAGTTTTTTTTTAATTTTTACCAAACATACAGACGAATAAAACTTCAAATTAACCCATTAGTACCCATAGCGACATAAATGTCACACCTCACACATGCCTCTTTATAAAAATTAGTAATTATTAAATAAATAAGCACAATAGATACACTGTTTTCAAATGCGTCGGCCTTGCTAGAATCTATAATGTAAGGTAATCGATTGTTAGTTAGCTAATGATAAAGGACTTGTAGCAATAACGGCAGGTTGGTTTGAAACAGTTAATTTTTTGGTGTAGTGCTGTGCAATGTGGAACTAAAAGTATACTTATTTAACATAATCTATTCAATGAAATTAGTGACACAAACTAATTACAATCAGTACCTAAACCCTGCAGTAAACAAACACATATCATTTATCAGTTATACTTGGACGAATTGTACCATTGGATTTATGGCAATGTCTACGATTGGAACATGAAGGGGCCCCTCAACTGTGTCGTAATAAATCACCTAGACTGTACTTTCCTTAATAGATATAGTGTATAGGATTGTCTTCGACAAAAAAATCAACTAAATATTTTTAACGTGTAGGTACCTATTCTGCTTCATTCGTATCGCCTTGTCTGTTAAAAACTCTGTCTAAATTACCTAATGGCGCGAAATTTAAATTTAACTACCACATTCGTCTATAGACCATTCGCACCTTAGTATGCAGTATGGGGCTTATGGAGAAACAGTACATGCTTGCCAAACTTATTATAGGATCGATTACTGCACCGTAAAACGGTAGTTTAGACACTATTTATTACTTTTTAACCTAACCTCAGAAGTCAAAAAGGTAAATTAATAACAAGTTGTAATTGTTTGTCAAATGTGGCCGAGAACAGCTTGTATTTATTAAGTCCCCAAAAATTTACAAATGTACAGTATACATATTAGTCACTGGAATCGAATTGAAATTCATCGGAAGATGACTGCGACACTTGAATTATAAATTCTTCAACATCATCTTGAAGATAATCTGGTGCCCACATGCCATCTTCGATAGTTTTCACGTGATTGACATAATGTTGCCAATTTTGAACCGTAACTTGTGAATAACCCATTTTTATTAATTCTTCCATGTCCTTTATTTTAAATGTTTTGTTATTAATTTTGATATGATGTTTAACTTGAGCCCACACCATTTCAATGGGATTTAATTCACAATGGTATGGAGGTAAACGGAGAATCTCGTAACCTTTTTCTTGTGCAATAACATCAGCTTATTTTTGTCGTAGTGATGCCGAACATGCGCAACAGAAGCCAGTAGGTCTCGTTTTAATGGATTTTCTTCAATCGGTACATTTTTCTCACGAAGCCAATCTATAATGTGTTCTTTTCTCCACGACATTGTTGGTATCTTCTCCAACTTTCTACTGTGGTACGAGGCATTGTCAATAACAATGACTGAATTCGGTGGCACATTTGGTAGAAGCTGTTCAAAAACCACTTTTCATAAGTGTCTGCATCCATTTCGTTGTGTGCATCAGCAGTGTTCTTTTTGCAGAGAAAAGTCAGTTCCGCGCCCGGAATAAAACCATTATCATCACCACCAGCATGTACTAACGCAAAGCGAGGCCCTAGACCAGTGGGTGATTTTAAACCTGTACTGAGCCCTTTGATGAATGCCTGACGATTGCTTTCAACGGTGGTGTCATGCCACGCCCTGCTCACCGAATGACCAATGTTAACCCATGACTCATCCGTATACACAATATTTTTACCTAAAATATAAATATTATGTAACTTGCAATTAAATATAATAAAAAGATTAAGCACCTTCTTCTCTCAACTTCCTGATGCGACGTAGGTATTTATGTCTCCATCGTATAATATCATCCCGTTCAATAAGGATACTCTTGCGGCCAACCTTCTTAAATTCAAAACCCATATCTTTCAAGAGATTGAATAATGTGGTGCGTTTAAAGTTGGGTAGATCGTTATCGTCATTTACGGAAGCTAAGATGCTGTTCATAGTTGGTGGAATATTTGTAATGAAGAAGTTATGCACTTTACGTCGAATAACTGATTGCACATTTTCATCATACAAATGAAGACGATCATTGCTTTGTTTCCCTTTTCTTTGCTTGCGTTTTTTCGGGCTTGATACACCTTCGTTTCCGTCTTCCTTTTTAATGGCATAGATGCTCCGTTCAGAACAACATAAAGCTTTACTTGCTTCTTTCACAGCTGCAGTAACGTTCATCGTTCCCGAGAAATAGTTCAGCACGTTGATAATGAGGTGTTTCTCCTTCCGGCTAAAACACTCTCCTTTATGGCGTTTCACATTAGCAGATCCTGCTTCAGCTTCGGCTTCCATTTAATGGGATATTCTAAAAAGATGAAATCAAATAACGGTTCTACAAGAACACTCAAAGTTACCTTGTATATAAAGTACGAGATGGAGGAACGATTTTTAAAGCAATGAGACAATAAAATGTGTTAAATACGAAAGACAAAAACGAACCACACACGTAATGACAATACAAGAAGATTTGACGTTATATTTTGTTT